TATGAACATTTCCACATATAAAATAAATAAAATATCCAAAAACTTTTACCTCTAAATCATCTATTACATTATACACGTCACCAACGAATTCATACATGAAGCATTACAAATATTTATTATCAAATATTTAAATTATTTCCATGCACATTTATTTCAACTTAAACATACACCAAATTCCTACAAGTATAAAATTCACAAAATAAACTATCATTTCATTAAAATATAATTAAATTCAAAAACACCACTTAAAATATACATGAGCACATACATTCAATTAATAAAAATTACCTTACAATCCTAATTACTTTAAACTAAATCATTGCTAATAACAATTTTCCCAATAATACCAAATTCCTTTCCACCTTACATTTCCAACAATGCATAAAAATAATTAAAAATACTAACTTACCTAATCTCCTTCAGAATCTTCATTACGTGGCGGATACACTTTCCTTCATTCTCTTTCAGAATCTTTAAAATCATACTTATCTTTCAAAGCAAGATACCAGGTAAATAAATAACATAATAAAACATGTTTATTTCTCTCTCACACAAACTTAAAAAACATTTCTTACTATCCTTTTCAATACCACTAAATACCCATTTCGAATTCAATTTACTTACGGCCATGGGATCCAAAAATTAACAAACACTATTTCACACAACACAGAATAAAGCCAAATACAAAATTTCCAGATTTTTTCCCGATTGCCCCCCCTTTTCCGATTAAAGAACCGTAATTCGTCCATTAATATCACATGACATATCCCATGATCTCTCATTTTCCCCACACAAAATAATGCGTAATCGGAACTCAGTACTGCTCACATTATTACCAAAGTCCCAGGTAGTAACCTTTATCGCCTCCAAAATGTCGCCAAACTACCAGTTACCGTAATGTAAAGATCAACCAAAAAAAATCCCAGAATCGCACAAAAATGACATTGCACACACTCTTAACTTTATCCATCTACACTGCTATTTTCTCATAAATTACAAAAATTTGCACGAAAATGCAGGAAAATTTTCTTAATCTTTAAACTTGATAAAAAGCACATATCTGAAATTACCTGATCGCGAAAAAGTACATACCCTTTCCAAGGATGAACATTTCCACGTATAAAATAAATAAAATATCCAAAAGCTTTTACCTCTAAATTGTCTATTATATTATAAACGTCACTAACGAATTTATACGCAAACATTAAAAATAGTTACAAATACTTAGTGTCAAATATTTAAATTATTTCCATACACATTTACATCAACTGAAACGTATACCAAATTCCTACAAACATAAAATTCACAAAATAACTATCATTTAATTAAAATATCACTAAACCATGTACACGTAGACTTATTTTTACTTAAAAAAACATCCCAGAATTGCACAAAAATGGCATTGCGCACACTCTTCACTATATCTATGTACACTGCTTTTTTGTCATAAATTAGAAAAATTTCACGAAAATGCATGAAAATTTTGTAAATCTTTAAATCCGGTAAAAAGAACATATATGAAATTACCTCATTGCGAAAAAGTATATACCCTTTCCAAGCATGAACATTTCCACGTATAAAATAAATAAAATATCCAAAAACTTTTACCTCTAAATTATGTATTATATTATAAACGTCAGCAACGAATTTATACGCAAACATTAAAAATAGTTACAAATACTTAGTGTCAAATATTTAAATTATTTCCATACACGTTACTTCAACTGATACGTATACCAAATTCCTACAAACATAAAATTCACAAAATAAAACTATCATTTAATTAAAATATCACTAAACCATGTACACGTCGACTTATTTTTACTTAAAAAAAATCCCAGAATTGCACAAAAATGGCATTGCGCACACTCTTCACTATATCCATGTACACAGCTTTTTTCTCATAAATTAGAAAAATTTCACGAAAATGCATGAAAATACTCAACGTTAACAATTTTCCAATAACAATTTTCCAATAATACTACTCAAACGTATTCCAAAATACTACAAATATATAACTCACAAAATCACGATCATTAAATTAAAATATAATTAAATAAAAAAAACTACTTAAAATATAAATAAGCACATACATTAATTTAATAAAAATTAGATTACAATCCTAATTACTTTAAACTAAATCATTGCTAATAACAATTTTACAATAATACCGCATTAATTTATTTACTGCTTACATTTAGAACAATGCATAAAAATAACATCCTCAAATGATTAAAAATACTAACTTACCTAATCTTCTTCAGAACCTTCATTACGTGGCTGCAGTACTACTGCTAATTTCTAAATCCGAAATCCAGTAGTCAACAGGAAGTCCTATTCACCAAGTAATAAGAAATTAATAAAATTTCACTTTTACTCAAACTACTTTCAGCAAACCACGTACATTTCCTTACACTGCATTTCACAAAATGTCCATTTTCACCAGATTTCTTGCACCGCCATTTAAACTTAACTGTAATATCCTTCCTTTCACACAATCTCAACTATTATTATTATCAGATAAACGCATTAAAAATTTAGAATTCACTTTACATAGCGCCATGCAATCCCAAAATTAATCAACACTATTTCACACAACACACAATGAAGCTTAATACAAAATAATTTTTCCAAATTAACCCCTTTTTCCGATTAAAGAACTGTAATTCGTCCATTAATGTCACATGACATATCTCATGATCTCTCATTTCCCTCACGCAAAATAATGCGTAATCGGAACAGTACTTCTCACGTTATTACCAAAGTCCTAGGTAGTAACCTTTATTGCCTCCAAAATGTCGCCAAACTACCTGTTACCATATTCCAAAGATCAGCCTACAATTCATAGATATTTCTTAAAGTTGAAACAGAACGCTGTGTACATGATATTCTTTGAAATTTATTGTTGTTATGTTAATTTATTAAAGCGAGGTGTGCGCAGTTTGTAGATTCGTTTGTTGCCTAGATTGTGCAATCCGTAGATTTTTTTTTAAAGTTTAAACAGGATGCTGTGTACATGGTATTCTTTGAAATTTATTATTGTTATGTTAATTTATTAAAGCGAGGTGTGCGTAGTTCGTAGATTCGTTTGTTGCCTAGATTGTGCCATTCGTAGATGTTTTTTAAGTTAAAACATACCGCTGTGTACATGGATTCTTGTCAAAATTTTTCGGTTAGAAACTTTAAGTTTTTGCTATCTAAATTTTTTGTTTTTGTTTCGGATTTTTAGGTTCAATTGTGTGTTCAAAACGTGGTTTTTGCATAAGCGAAAACCGCGTTTTTGGAGACATTTTAGGCTTAAAGTTCGAAATGTAGACAAAAAATTTAGATAGTAATATGGCAGCGTGGAATTTCTCACCAAAAATGTTTGCCGACTTGAGGGCACATATCAGAGTAGTTCCCTTAAATATTAAAAGTTTCAACTGCATTTACATAGGAAAACATTTGCTTATCAGGTTTTCATTTATATAAGCGACTAATAATTAAAACTGTACTTACTTGCAACTTTATTAACTCCAGTGCAATAAAAAAAATCCACTTATTTTATACAGGAAACCAAAACAAATGCTATGTACTAAAAGGCCTGGGTGATTAATCTATTTATGAAAAATATGTAATTTATTTGCTTTAGAAGCATCAGACTCGTGAAAGATTTTTTTTAACCCTTCGAGAGGCATTACTTCTTGGATTTGCTCAAGAAGACCTGTATTTACACACCTTCTATTAGCTAAATTTTTAAAATTTACTTATTTTTGGTCCCTGTTTTCATAAAATTCCATTAATTAAAGAAAGAAAAATTTTAAATTATAAGTTGATACGTACCAAGTGACAAAATATCTCACAACCAGTCACAGGTGAAGACACAGGTAAGAGAAACTGATTTGTGGCTCATTGGAATATGATAAAGCACAAAGACACACACAAAAAAAGGGATGCCTTCATGGTGGATTTTTTAAAGGTATTGGTATTATTCAATTATGGCAAAGCACACAAGGGCTATCTGCCTAAAGGGAGGGATGCCTTCGTGGAGGACTTTCTAAGGGAAACTGGCTCGTATACACGTTACACATGGGGAAAACCATGAAAATGCCCATGCAGGATTTTTTAAAGGAAACTAGCTTGTATTCACATTATGCATGAGGAAAAATCAACCATGCAGCCAGCCCATTCACATGGATTCAAACTCAGGACAAATTACCAGTATTCAACAGTCTTTAACTGCTCGGCAACTGGTGGGACCATTACATATGGGATTAGATTAGATCATCTGTTTCTGGCAAAGTACACAACAGCTATCTGCTTTATTGGATGGATATCTTTGCAGAAAAGGTAAACTGGCATATAATCCTGTTTCATATGGGGAAAACTGCAAAAATGCCTATTTGCTGGGCACATAACATAAGGGTAAAACAAAAAATACCATGCACCTAGCTTGTGCATCATGAACAGAACCTAGAATGAGTTACTAGTGCTCAACAGATTTTTCTACTCCTCTACTAAAACACGTCACTTAAAATTTATTTTTACACAGCATTATACACACATATACTGGGTGAAAGATTATTAGTAATACACGACCGAAATAATTATGAAATATTATAAAAATTAACTTGATTAGTGACCAACAATGTTGTAAAATTCGCTTTAAGATATAAAAATTTTGTTGTTATAATTGATTGCAATGTGAAATACAAATTAACAGATCATAAAATATTTTATACCCTCTGGAAACCTACAGAAATCATAATTAAAGTAAAAAAAAATCATTACACTATATTTCCCACATTTAAAAGAATAACCTGCAAAGCCAAAAAAAAAAAAAAAAAACTCCGCTACTGATGAGTGTTGATACTGCACATTTAATCTGTATAAATAAGCACAAACTTTTAAATCACTTAATTTTGTAATCAAAAGAAATATTGCTACGCTGTCGAACATTAAGATAACAAATTACATTAATATACTTCAAAGCACATTTTTTACAGAATATTATAACTTACAGAAGAACGAAAGCGAGAAAAAATATTTTTCACTTAAAAAAACGGCCTCTCACAAAAATGAAAAACTTCTCTAACATGTTTATTCATTTTACTACACAATTATAAAATATCATGTAGCATAGAGAAGTTCACTCGCCTAACACACAATTACAAATTCCAAACACACGTCTAAATCACAATGTTTATTTCTGAGTAACTATTGCAATTTATTGGAGTATTGCCATTCTAAAATACGAATTCTTGATAATACAGTTTCGATTAAAACTGCAGTTTTAAATTGAGCGCAATAATTTTTAAAGAATCCTGAAATTTCCCAGCATCAAAAATATTTTAGTTACACATATTGAATTTTAAACAAATATTTTGCAAGAAATAACAATTGTAGACGTTTAAAACAAGCAATTCAATAATTATAACCAGTGTTATTTTTCTTGATTTATCGAGTTTTGCTACAGCAAAGCCCTGAGAACGAGACATCATGTAGCAGACGAGCTAGTTTAGTTATGGAGTCTGCTGTTGAACAGAGAAAGGGAAGGTATGTCAGTTTTAATCTCTCCTGTGATGTTGATTACTTTTATTTTTAAATTTTCGTTTCATCGCTTTTGCTCGTTTTCAAAGTAACTGTGTTCGTATAAACTGAGCTTAAATCCTAAGAAGAATAATTCAATGAATGGCAAGCGTGTAATTTTCAGTTTCTCATGCTAGTAATCGTGACGCATAATATTTGAAAAGTGAAAGTATTGGCGTTTAAATCTGAAAACATTGTATATAATTAATTATAAAAAGAAACATTTTAATCATTGATACCGATATTACAAATAAGCATTCTTATAGTGCATTTATTCATGCTGTATTGTATTTTTAACTGAAGTAATGTTGACGCTTGTCAGATAGGACAGCTCAGACTGATTTCATGCTGTGGCACCATTTTCTGAGTTTTTTTAATCTAGAAAAAGCTTATGTGTATGTAAATTTTATTTTTAAATACTGTTAAAATGTTAATTCTGTCGGTCTTATATATATATACATATTAGTCACATGTTTTTCATGCTTCATATACTGTGGATTGTTTGAATTCATTTTAAGAAAGAGAGGATTCATTAAACAGAAGTTGATAAGATCATGCGTAGCTCATTTCAGTAGCTATTTTTTTAAACTACTGTTAAAATGTAACTGTAATATTTGCAGCAGTAATATATAAATATGTAAAATGAAGTGATTTTTATTATATTAAATCTGATATTGTTTATTTTTTGTTATTTTTTTAAACTGAAAAACTGACACACATTTTATTTTGCACCAAATAAGTTCTTGTTTAATTTTTTTTAAAAAAATCTGTTTATAAAATTTTTAAAAATGGGCAAACTGACTATCAAATTATGATGCTTAAAAATAATATTCTAATTTCATGTACAGTTTTATGACAACTTAGAAAAAGAATCAAAATCAGAGAAAGGCCTTTTGGGAAAAGATGTAAATTTTAATAATTTTTCCTTTCGAATGTTTTCAGCACTTTGAAATCATTTAAATATTAAAGGAGTTGGATTTTGTATCTATCTTTCAAATAGCATTTGTATTGAAGTCAAAAATATTTTGAAAACAAAAATCCTTTTTTTAAATTTTTGGCACTAGTTCCCTCCTTGAAGTTGACAGTTATTTGAATATTGTCAACCTCAACTATAAGTTAAAAACCCAGTTGTTCTACTTAATAACATCTCAGTATAGAAATATTTTTAAATATTATGCGAAATATTCTATATACCAGATTTTTCAAGGTTCAACTGCTTATTTATAATTTGATGAAATTGAAAGCATTTCCTTTAAAAACGATAACTTTGTGTTTATAACTTGATGGCTACAATGCAAAATATTGCTGTTTGATTTAAAAGTATTCAAAAAGTATTTAAAAATATTCCTTTATTTTAAAGTAAATTCAGTATTATATCTGAGCATTGTTGTAAAATTTTTATTTGTGTGTGTGTGCATATATATCACTTGCACCATGATGCTGTATCATTGTCTGTGTTAGTAAACTAATATATCTGAAATGTGCATGTAATTGAACTAGTGTCTACTGTATTCTTAATAGTTGTATTGGCAGAAAAAGTTTTTAGTGATAGGTAAACCATTTTTAGAAGCTAACTATAAGTTTCAGCCGAGTAAACAATTCATATTTTAAATGTATTGTCTGTGATATTAAACTAATATATTTTAGTTTATTGCAGACAATACCATAATTGTAATTATTATTGTTCAAGAGAGTAAACTAATGTGTTTGCACTTAGCATGTAGCTAAACTTGTCTGTTTTATATTTTTAATAATTGTGTTGACAGAAAGATCATTATACCATGTAATAGGTAGTCTTTTTAAGAAAATAATCATGATAATTATGATCTTTTAGTAGAATAAACAAATTCTGCATATTATTTGACCTCAACTGAGATGCTAAGTGGTTAAATTTCTTAATTATGATTTTTTTCATAGGTAATAAAGCATAAAATTCTAACTGCCAAATTCGTTGATATTTTATGTTCATTTCTTTAAGTTTATATGGGGGAGCTGCATTATTAAATTTGGCTATTTCAAAATTATTCTGATTAAATTTTTTAACATATTTTGCATTTTCTAAGTACTATGTAAAATTCAAATTACCTCATTTTATAACTGTGTTTAAAATATTCAAATATCTGTGGTCTTGTTTTAATGATCTATATATAGTAGATAATTTCAAACACTATTTTTGTTGATACCTTGTAAAGCATCTATATTTCATCAGAAAACTCACTAGTTCCTCCAGAATATTAAAATATACAGTGTAGAAATTTGAAATTCCTTTAGTTGTAAAGTATTGAATACCAGTGAATACAGTGTGAAATAAGTATAGAAAGTTCAGATAATATAAACAGTTCAGGAAGCTAAAAAAAAGCTCATCTCAGGTTTTATTTCTAGACCTTTGAATTAAATGTTAGTAATAAGAGAGCTCCATTTAATATTCTAAACTGATTTAGTGGGACTACTAAGCTACACTTTATCATACAAAAAAAATCAGAAATTTTTGCTTGAATATGAGCCTGTTGTGACATGCATGTCCAATAACTTCAGTTAGTCATACATCAAGTTACACATAGCTCAGTGTTAAGTATTAATTATTCAGAACTTGTTAATGCCTTTGAGTAGCTCATTTGATAAATCACCTTTCTATCGATAAGGAGATCCTGAGTTTCATCTCTACCTTGGGTCCTTAAGTGAGTACTTTGAGTACCTTGGGTAATTCCTTAAATAGAACCTTTACATGATTCCATCTTAGTGAGACTATTTTACTCTTATTTACCCTTCATTGTCATTGTATTTGGCCAGGACATGCCGTACCCCTGGTCAGAAGGGGAGAACACAGATAAGAATGGATGCATCTGATTAGCAAAAGTAAGTCAAACTAATTTACATGTGGCTAATAACCAAATGCAGTCTCGTAGTTAACTAAGTATTATTCTGAAATGGTCAATGGCTGCATATACCTCGGTATAGCACTTATGTATAAATCAAGGGGGGGGTTTCTGGTTCATACCAGTAGAGCCCCAAGATTATTAAAATAATTTATATATATATATATAAATCCTTGTGGATGTTTGTCAAAGAATGTTATTTCTGCTGATACAAAATTAAGTTGTTTTAATTTTTATCAATGCTTGTGGGATAATTTCAAGTGTTACTTTTTGAAAAAGATTTTGCTTTAAATCATGATAAAAGTTTTCTAATGAAAATTGATTAATTGCATTTTTATCCATGGACGAAAAAATTTATTTAATTAATGTAAAATACCTGCTTTCTCTCTAGTCAATACTGTTATCTCTCTCATAAAAAGAAAAAGAAAAAAAAAAAAAAAGAAGAAGCCTCAAGAAACTTAAGAGAGTTCTTTTACTTCTGAAGAGAACACAATTTACTTCCAGTATTATAAGGTTTACCTTTCGATGCATATGTATAAGAAATTGTTTGATAAATGTTGTTTTTTGTTTCAATAATTTTTGAAAAACTTTAAATGTGATAAACTTTTTGTGATAATTTCATTTTCGCAATGTAGTGACTAAGTAATTTTTAAAATCCGTGCCAAAGTTAGCCATTAATTTGATTGTCTTTTCAAGAACAAACATTTGTATTTTGAGACAAGACGAATAAGAAACGAACTGTAAAGCATTATCTGAGTTTTAATTTGAACCTAATGTCTTCTGTTTTGTAGCCTTGAACATCGTTTTATTATTTGGAAAGGTTCTTAATTTTTATATGTTGTAAGGAATTAAACAATCTGATCTTTCTTCATTCTAATTGGAGCATACATTTCTGCCTTTCCACAGAGTTAGAAAGGTCCATTTTTATATCATTTTCTCTACATTGTCAGATTTAATGTTTTTTATTAATGATTGTAAAGTAGATATGAAATGTGTCTGATCATGTGGGCAAATATTTTAACTGTTAGACTAATGAGACTGATTTCTTCATCTCATAGCTTTAAATACGTGAGAGGTTTCGGTACTTACGTATTAATGCAACTACATTGGCGCAATTTAGCGATGCTGTACAGATGAAAAGGTAAAAGTTACGTATGTGTAAGCTGGCAATTTTCACGACTTTTTTAAGAACTTCCGAAACTATCGATACTTATCGTCAGCCAGCAAACATTATCATCATACCAAAAAGAAACATACTTTATCAATTTAAAATACAAATTTCAAATAAGGATGAAGTGATACATTAAGAAACTAAAAAAACAGGTGGTCCCCCCCCCAAAAAAAAATTCTTCTGCAATTTTCTTCCGCTGCTCTCCCTGTGTACACGGCGACCTGTTTTCGCTTTAAAAAAATCTCAGACGATACCACAAACTCGACATCCAATACCGGATATCTACTAAACGCTTCTCATCCTTGTTCCTGTTAGCGATTTTGCTGCAAAAGACTGCATTTCAGCAGAAATTTTACCGCAGTTTCTTCCATTCCTGGCAAATTCCAAAAACGCATATTTTAAAATTGAGAATAAGGCAAAAAATATCAAGATTTGTTTAAACAACCGTTGGAATTTGGCATACAACAAGATGCACATCAAAAGCATGCAAAAATGGAGTTAAAAAAAATTAAGTTTTGTTATACAGGGGTATAAAATATATACCGGCCTTCAAAATTCAGGATT